TAATGTCTTAAGAAAACCTTCGAATGGTTCCCTCGCTTCCGTGTGTGGCTATCTACCGACATGAAACGTTTCGGATTCTTGGTCACTCCCCGAAGCTGAAGGGAAGCGGTGGTTAGTCCCAGCTCTGGTTTTCCCCAAGTCGCTCGTGGACTGGTCAAGGTCCGTTCGTTGATGGCCCCACGAAATGCATGACTATCGTAATCCTGTTACCGGCGGTGCATTATTCGGACAGTCTTCGGTGTAGCTGCTGGTCGAAGCTTCGAATATTTCTGTTGTTCATCGTGCCAGTGCAGATTTTTATTTTTTTCTATTTTAATCGATGCGGCGAGAGTTCTGTCGTAGGTGACGCGGGGATTTTTGGGTTGTCGAGAAGTACGGTGGGCTTTTTTTCATGTCGATGTCGGGAAGAGGCGCGGAAAGGCGATGACTTGAAGATAACAGTATTTTTCGTCATGTGTAGAATATGAGAAGTTCATCGCTCTGTCTTCCATTGCATTCGGTTTGTATCAGTGAAATGGAATTGATCAGAAGTTCTCATCTGTGTGTCGTTGTAAATACATTCAAATTGAGATGGTATCACGCATTTTGTATTCTGTCTCTTCGTAGCTGAAGCCTGTTGTTGAATCGCGTATTCCAGTTGAACAGCCAGAACTCGAACCTCCCCTATTGAAATAGGGTACCTACAATCGTCGACTTTTTTGAAGTCCCTGTCTGAATTCCCTTGAAAGCAGTGCAACAACAAACATTTCAACTTGAAGGCTTTCCTTTTTTTTAGCCTTCCGAAATCTAATTTTCTGGAGACCTGTTGGCTATTATTTTAGTGACAGGCAAAAAAGAGAAGCAAGAAAAATGTAACTTGATGTGTTTTGAAAGTAGGTGAACCTTTGCCTCCAAGTTCAGCAACCTGTCAACCCATTTAAGCAGCAATTTTGGGCCTAGAATATCTCCAATTAAAATTTCTTGTAATTCTTCGTTTCTTCCCCAACACAAAGGTTTGTTTCCCTGACTCGGATTTTATGCTGTTCCTTGAAGTTCGACTCCGTCTGAAACGGTATTTCCATTGAAATTGAGCCCTTGTTGAGCTCACTATTACTCGAATTATATTCGTTTTAGTTAATAGGCTCATTCCCGTTCTCTTTCCGGATTCCCTTTCGTGAAGACGCTCGTCCTTCGAGAACGCTTCCTGTTACTCGAAAGGTGAACGATAAAAATCGGTATTATTCGAGTGAGGTCGCGAAGACCGCTAGTGTCACCTGGAGGATATTTCCGTTGATTAGTCTTTATTTTTCCAATACTGCATCTTCCCCTTGACTGAATCTTCTGTCTGGTGGGCCTTCCGTCTGCGTTGCACAATCGTGTTTGTGCCCCTCGCATTGCAATGACCCTCGTCGTTCGGACGGTCAAATGAGAGAGAAAGCCGGAGTGCGTTGATTGCCAAACATTCCCATTGTCCCTCGTAGTTGAGGGCGAGCAGTTCCTCGGAAACCTCACCTTTGTGTCGTTGCTTCGTTCAATGAGTAAATGAAGTTTGATTTGCGATGCACTCGATGGCCCGGAAAATTATGTGAATATCGAATGGCCATGTATGCTGAAGAATGTGACGTAGACTCAAACGAAAAGTCAATTCCACGGATTTTATTCAGATTTTATGGGAGAAAATCGTCTTCTGTAAAAATCTTACCGTAATATGCGATAAGTAATTAAGGGCTGCGATATATTGGAACTTTCAGAAAGGCGGATTGAGTTTTCGAAGGTGATTCAGTTGGACTTCAATAATTTAAGCCTCCCGAACTGGAAAACCTCCCCATTTCGATTTGTTTACACCCTGTCCGCATTTTATTGAGAACAATGTTAAATACCCTAGTAACCTAGTTCAAAGATTTTCCTCCTGAAACCTCTGTAACTGGAACTTCCGGCGGCCTTCGGGTTTTTATGCTGGGTACTTCGAGAGGAGAAAAGCAATAAAAAATATGGCTTCGTGCTTTTCCAAAGGAAATGAGCGACTAGTTGGGCAAGTTGACCCATTGCCTCCAAGTTCAGCCTCCTGTCAAGTGTCAACTCATTTATTCAGCAGTTCAATATGCAGAAGATTACCAATTTTAATTTCCTTTCTTTCTTTCTTTTCGTTACCAGCGAAATGGTAATTCCCCGAAATCGAAACCTATCGAAGTGAAATTGGGGTCCTTTGAAGTTCAACTTGCAGAGGTTCATCGTAATAGAATGGCCTACCTTTTTTGGTTTCATGTTAGTGGCAGTCATAGTGTAAATAAACAACCCGCAAAGTTGAATGGCCGGCTTTTGAATTTATTTTATCGAATTTTTCACGAATTACGCCAAAGAAAAAAGACATGCAGTTTCATTCATAGATTTCAGATTACTGACTTCTGAAAATATGTCTTAATTCACTGGGGTACTCCGTATGAATACTATATAGAGAGGGTCCGTCGAATGAGCCGCTAAAATCGTTTGTGAAGCTCTGAAGCAGCACATACTCTAAATTAATTCGCGCGGGTCGACGGGCGATATTTTATTATGATTTTTCAAATGGATGCCGAAGCTTACGGTGAAAGTGTGTCATCAAAATATTACATTCTTCGCATCAGTAAATTGCACGTTTTGAGATCATTCTAGTGTATGTCTTGTCGCAAAATGAGGAACGGGGTCGCTTGGTGAAAGAAAAGTCGCTCGCCGAATCACATTTTTGTAGCAAACATGAAGCTCATTATAGTGCCATAACTGGTCATCGCTGGTAAAATGTGCTACTTTCTCCGTCAAGGGTATTCGCAAACGTCGTGATTCCAAGTGAGGGGAACAGCGGTCTGCTGATTGAAGTGAACTCATTTTTTTCTCCCAATGTCGGAAACTATTTCATTCACGGAAACGAGTTTTTGATGTTTACTTCGGTTTTATCTCTGTTCTCATTTAATCGACCCGTATCAAGACGGTCAGCCCACTCTGAATAGCATTGTGCTGCTGTCGAGTTTTACGGCGCATTTTTCATTAACCTTTCCACTCCGGTGGATCGGCAAAATCAGAAAGTTTTTCCTCCGAGAATCAGCTATTAGTCACAATATTGCCTGATAATTATTTGCATTCTACTCCTGCGAATTGTCCTTTTGTTTACGTAGTTTTTATCAATAAAACCTACATGTTTTGAGTGAAACGGTCGAAAATTTGCAAATACAGTATTTTGTCAAGGCATATTATTACTATATTAGATTTCAGAGACAGTATCATCTTCAAGAGCTATCTATTAATAGTTGAGTGTATTGTGCTAAAATGAAGCAAAGCTTCAAATAGTGTATTAATATTGTCTGACAAACTTCAATTTCTCCTCCTTGGGCTTGCAGGAGATTTCAACAAATTGAGGCTTTTCTTATTGACATTTTCAGAGAAGCAGTTCAACCAAATGATCGGCGTATTCTCCGTTTCTTCAAGTTTCTCCTGACCGCCATCAGCTTTATTGAAAAAAGTCAAAAGACCTCAAGAATTGCCCCCTTTCTTCATTTTAGAATTCCATTTCTTTTACGATACCTGAATATATGAAACATCAGTATAGCATTGATCAGCTATTTAAAGAAAAGTTGATTCAAATTTTAGACCGAACAGGAATAAAAGCATTCATATCCAGTGCAGTATCACATTATATTTTTACACACTTGGAAGAAGCTATCGAAATAGTTTTTAAGCTTACCCAGCAATTTTTAGCATACCAAGCGAAAGCTGGTGCAACACTCGTGAATTTGATCTCGTTCACATTTACTTTTGTATTATTGAGCCAAGAATACTTTTTGAGCTTTGGTGTTCTCCAATAAATCGCTTTCATCTGCAGGAAGAGAAGGATTAAAGTATCCAAGTCGGGATCACTAGTTTTTTTTTTATGGTCTTCCATTGATGATGGGTGGAATTTGAAAAACCTATGAGTCCCACAACAGGCTTCTTCGAAATGTTCTGCTGACCCGTAAAAAAACATCCGCGGAAAATGAGGTTGCAGAACGTTGTTCTTGGTCAATTAGTAGATTCATCAGCGATTTGTGATGTTCAGCAGCTTACCGAATGACGATTTACGACTTATATTTATTGAGATTTTCGTCACGTGTTTTGCAACCTTTACGCCAGCCCTAGTTAATAGAACCAGTTAAGGCTTTCTAAAAATTACTACGATTTGGCCTAATTTATTGCTTGGACATTATTTGCCCCCCGTAAACAAAAATCAGTTTGACTCTCTGACCCCGAGTGGTCAGGTTGAGCTACTCAATGAAGGTTGAGCTACCCACGCGATCAATGTGATCATGCCGTTATCAAAGGTTAGTTCGCTGAATCAGAATCTTGAGAACCGAGTCGTAGATGCTCTAAAAAAAATCGTAAGAGCGTATAAATTTGAATTTTGAAAATACTTCTGGGAAGCTTTCGATTATGAATATTTCCGAGGTGGGCTTAATATTTACTGATTGATACTCTAGTGATTGATTTCCTCACCTCGATTCAAACCGTTGCTCATCCGGGTTGAAATACTAGGGAATTGAATTTGTAACCCATCAAGAAGGAAATATAGCGTACCTGCCAAATTATCATGTTTATGAATGCACAGATAGTCCGAATGCCGATAAATGTTGCTTGTCGAATATTTTCTAAATGTTTTACAGTACTAACAATTCCACCGACGTGGCGAAGAAATTTTGATTAAATCTCTCTGATCTTAAAAATCGTGTGCTCGTGAGGCTGAATGTGAAAGTTGCGCTCGTAGGAATCGTCAATTGGTGTTGTGTCCTAAATTTCCAAAATCACGACTGCCATTGAAAAAAATCCTCCGCAAATAAACAGATTCCGTATAGGTCTTCTCAGAATTAGTCCAATCATTGAGAAACTTGTGAGCCAACCCCCGGGGCACGTCGTTTAATATTTTTATGAGGTTTCCTCTATCAAAGCCAACCTAGAACTCAGCAGGGATGGCCAAAGCCTTCTGTGTCAATATTAACAGCTCGTCGTGAGTCTCCCAAATGGCCGTACTTACACATTCTTCCCTGGGAGCGTCCCGTCTGTTCATTCGATTTGCGCAAGGTTGGGCATCTTTTTTGGCGTTATTTCCTGTGTTAGTGAAACGAGGACCGAACGTTCGGGTGAGCGTGTTCTGACCAGCCTCGCGTTGCGTAAGTTTCTGTGGAGATATTGCGCCAGTCTGGTTACGCACGGTTGCATCTTCGAGCATTTCCTGTTGGTGGACACGTGAGACTATGTCTTACGTACGGTATAGGCGTCCGAAAAAAGTATTGAGCTTTGTACTGTGTGCGGAAAGTTGTACCTCCCTACTTCGTTTTGTCGAATCATGGCAACCTGAATCTTTTTTTTTTCGCTCTTTTTCGTGGTTCCTCTTGAAGCTGGTTTTATTATGAGTCCTGGAAGGGGGGAGGGTCTTTTATCTTTTAACCTTCCGTGATATTCAATGAAAATTACGCGTTGAAAGAATTTTGCGCTGGTGTATCGTAAGGCGAATTCTTATTTGTCTCTTAGTATTTCCGTTAGAAAAATTTTTCGATTTTAATGTTGTTTTTTTCTCGTTCTTTCGTTTGTGTAGGCTGAAGTGAAACGCTCATCTGGACACGAACGAGTCAGCGGGCGAGTGAGCAACAGCAACAATAAGAAGCGGACGGTGAAAAACTTGAAGCAAATCCTTGCTGCTGAGAAGGCGTCGAATCCCGCAACATCGCAAGTGACGTGTAAGTTTTTTGCCCGTATTGTTCCATCTTCGTCATTGGGACTATTCATATACGGTATTTATTATTTTTTATCACGGTATTTTTTTTTAACTTTTGACTGGAGTTTTGTTTCACGTGTTTCGTGGATATCAATTGCAAAATCTGTGCCAGTTTTCCTCGTATTTCATGGGAGTAGATTACGATTACCTTTGATGAGGTCTGGTTGGGTGCAGTGGTGATTTAATTCGAGGTCGGCCGTGAACAGAACGGGTAGCCCGAAGGGCATTGATTCCCGTCGACACGTGGTCTTGTATGGATTTGCCCCTCTGTACCGGCGACTTTTTCCTTTTACGTGCCAGTCGTGAGACCGAGAAGCCGCTGTTCACGACTCTGTTTTTGACTCATTGACGAGTTCATAGATTCCCGCGGTGTTTTTTTTTTATCCAGTCGGGATCGAAATTTTTTCAATCATTGCTTAACAGAAGTCAGTTCTGTGACTTCTGTCATCCTTATTTCAACTGAGTGCGTCTTTTTTAGATTAATGAGGAAACTGCTTCCCTCTTCGAAGAAACAAAGAAGAAATTTCCTTCTTTGAAGAAGCACGACACTTCAATCAAAATTCAATTTTTAAAGTGAAAACTTTGTGGAACCCGCAGCCTTTTTTTTTTTTTTTTTTTTTTTTGATTATGTGCTTCCGTTGGTTCCTTGGTGGAACACACAGCCTTTTTTTTTTTTTTTTTTTTTTAGTGATTATGTGCTTCCGTTGGAGTTCTGAATTCTGATGAGGCACCCAGTGCCACAATGGCAACAGTTGCGCATTCATAGGATTTATTGTACTGAATTTCCTTTCCAGTTGCTTTAGCGTAGGCATAAAAAATTATTCGAAACGCCTCCGCCGATTCTTCTTTATAGTGAAGATGAAATCCTTTATAATGGTCACAAGTAATACAGCTTGAATTAGCCTGAATTTAGAAACTCATTTCTATTTTTTTCCATAAGTTCAAGACGCATTATCTCCAAAGAAACTTACAAAAAGAACGATGACTCTAGAACTAGAACCCGCGAAGCGGGGTTGCCATTGGTTCGTTGGGAGCCGGAAACGCAGCCAAACCCAACATGAGAAAACCTTTTTTAAATTTTGTTCCAGTTCTGTCGTGATACTTCAAGTTTAATGACTCGTTTTCTGGATTTATCCGAATCACGAAAGTAGTATTCTGCGATTCCTAGGTTTCGGAAATGCGGAGATTGAATCCATTTGGTATTTTTAAAGCTAATTTTCTGAATGCTGGGTTGATTAATTTGATTCGTTCGACCGGTTTCACTTCGAATAAGGCGTGAAGCCCCCAGATTCTCTTTTTACTCAAGGCGATAAGACAACTGCATTTGGAATCGAGTGTCGTTGCATTTTGATCAATATTGATGTGCATCCAAGTTATAATTTTGTTCCGGTTCCTTTGTCATAGATTCTGCCGCTGACATAGATCTTCCGCCTCGGTATCCTGTTCAAAAGTACGCTGACATCTCCGGACTGGAAGTGAGTACAAGTACCTTGCTTTGAGTCGCTAGTATCATTCATGATTGTCCCGACACACAAGTCAATTAATGCAAAAAAAGTTTCAATATCTCGACGAATAGCAATTCAGCTTCCCCTTTTATTGAATAACTTTTTTCTTTTTTGATTTCGCGGTCGGAATACCCGCGGGTTTATGCACCTTGCGAGTCCAGTTCTTGAGCAAAAATAAAACCGTTCAGTCAAGCGTTCAATAATATGGCAATGGATTTGCTGCAAGATACGATTTTTGATGCTGGACCCGCATTTGTAAAGTTGATTATATTCTAAACATGGAGGTATATTTACACTTGCGTTTGCCCGTGTGAGACGTTCTGCAGACGTCCTTATGTTACAATTGCCGGGGATGCCTCTGTCACGCGTATGGTCTATTGAGCTGTGATCGTCTCGAGTGGGCTATGACCGTGTCCATGACGAGAGAGGGTTTTGAAATCCCGGGCTTCTTGTACGGGTCGTTGTGTGCGGTTGCGTTGTTGGGTGCGTTCAGAGCCGTGGACTGATCTTGGTTGACGCAGTCGGGATATGTTTCGTCGCAGTCCATCACGTTTCTTCCGACCCAGACTGCATGCAGGAAGTCGAGGACGTTGTTCTTCGCTTGTCCAAGCATGTATGATGCGGGAAGACTTCAAGGACGTAATGGAAAGAAGCGTAAAGATTTTTGTTGGAATATATACTTATTTTTTGGTACTGTAGCTAGAAACTCAAATCGTGCGGATCGATTTTCAAGCGGTAAATTCCTCTTTTTTCTTTTGGTAACGCCAGGGGAAACGCGTTCAAGAGGTTGAATGTGTTTTTTTTTTTACCATGCTCTACTTGTGAGGGGTCCTATCAGTTATAAAATGTGTTTCATAAGTTCTGCCAGTATCCTGAAATCGAGTTGTGTGCGTACAAATCTGGTCAGAATCATCGACGAGATAAATAACTCGGCCAAGAGTTGTGTAAATCTCTGTTAATTTGTTGATATTTTTTTTTTTACTGGCAGTCGTGACGTATGCAACGTCTTGTTCGGGAGCTGCCTTTTAAGCAACCCTAACCCCAATCAGTAAACAAATTTGTAAGAGCAGAAAACATTCTATCGTTAGAATGTGGCAATAGGATCTTTGATATGCTGTAAATTATGCAGGTGGACTCTCTCCACACCGAAATTCGAGTGACCAGCAGAATTTGTTGTAGAGAGATTTTCGTTATAAAGATCCCCGATAACATGGCAGAGAACCTTACGGGACCCAATAAAAGATCGTTGTACAGAAAAAAATCATATTAGACAAAATAGTTCTGGAGAGTCTACCTTTAGTGCAGGATTTGTATTTTCAGTCGCTAAATGCGAAATTTTCGGCAATACTGAAACCGCGAGTACATTCATTAAGCATGTCTGTGTGGCTGTTAAATTCAATTTTCTTTCGATTATGTAGAGCGCAAAAAATTCTGTCGCTTTTTCCGCGTCACTTCGGGCGAAAAAAATACAGTACTGTTGAGGAAATTCTCAATTATCTCTGGGTAAAATTCAAGTCCCATTCATCCGCATTCGAAGGGAAGGACAAGGCGTGACGAAACGAAATACTGTACTGTATTTGTGTATCACGATTACCGAAGTGGAAGTTAATGTTTGGAGTTATTCGTTTGAGAGGAACATTTTTTAAGCTTGACGTGATCTGATCGGGCGTCTAGCTCTGATTAATCAATTGGTGAGGGTGCAAACTGTGAGGGAATAAATATATTCTCGTGGTCAAAATACGGTATACCATCTCATCAGCTCACCTGGCTAGTGGTACGATGGTTGAATGTGGAGTCCCACTGAACGCAGCTACCTTATTGAGCTTGCAAATGTGATACTCGCTGCATTTGGGGACGTAGCCATACTTGTAAGTGAGCATCATGTCATCCAGCATCCTCAATATGACGCTGTTCTCGTCGATAAGTTCCAGCTCGTTGACCAGATCTGCGGACAATACAAAAGAGAAACGGCGCCGAAACGTTTCAGTCGTTGAAGACAACGCAAGGCTTTCTTTTTGTTTTCTCTCTCCCTCTCGAATGAATTAAAAGGGAGTTGTTCGCGCGATTCTGTTTTCAGTGAATGGAGCGCTTCCGTGTATGAAGTGTGGATAATTGCCTGGTAAAGTGTATTCCTATATTCACTTTTTGTTTTGTTCTTCTTAATGGGCCACTCTCACCAGCAAAGGGAATGTAGCGCTTTTGACGTCGATGCGGTGCAATGCCCGACAGGGTTTCCTGCTTTTTGCGGACGCCGTTTGGCTCAAATTCGTCTTGCACTGCGTAAAAAGGATTTTCTCGGTTAGTCGAGGCTTCGAGTTCGTTCATTGCTGTGTTCAGGCTGTCTTCGTCCACTGGGCTTCTTGCGAAATCTTGCTTATCCGGCAGAGCCGAAATTCCAATGCGGCCTTGATCTGTGAATTTGAAATTCCCTTTCCATCGTGATGAATTCTGAATTCTCTCCAGATATTCAAGATTTTGTTCAGCATTATTCAGCAAGTACTCGAACTTCGTGTACTGTATTAATTCCTCTCTCTCTCTCTCTCTCTCTCTCTCTCGCCGAAGCCTCAACTGAGCGAGTGAATGCATACATAAACTGACCATGAGCTTGAAGCGTTGCTTGGAAGTGTTATTTTCGAGGGTTTCTCAGAAGTCCTGCGTACTTCTTCAAAATTTTCATATCAGTTAGATGAAACGCTCACCTTCTTAACTAAATTATTGTTGGTTAGCTGAAAAAAATATTCTATTCGGTCCAGAAAAAGCAAATGCGTTTTTTTTCTAATCAGATTGAAGGATTTTCTGCTAGAAATGGCGCGTATTTCAACTGTAAAAGCTTTCCTGTGTGGTCTATCAGTCTTGAACCACTCAAAAATAGTGTGAACTGCTGCAGGGCAAAAATATCGTCTTTCGACCGTTGTGAGGTGGCTGACATATTTTTTAGTAATAATTATTGTCGAAGATTCTAAAAACATGGAAGTCTCGTAGAGATTGGGACTGAATAATGTAGCTGTTGAAAAAAATGGAACCCCCTTGTAGCAGTCGTTGCAAATCTTGAGGAAAATGCCCGTTAAAATTGTTAAATTTTTTCAGATGATGTCGCTAAATTTTTCCAAAATTTTATGTGATCTGTAATTCTTCCTGATTCTTCTCGCGTATCTAAATTAAAGGTCTCCAAATTCCTATCTGATTGAGTCTAAGCTTATTGTATTTATAATGGGGTGACTTTTTAGATTAACGATAAAATGGGTTAAAATTGACCGCTGAATTTCACCCGCTTCGTGTATCTTTGTTGTTGCATGCAGGACTTATCAGAAACCCATAGTATCTTTTTTAAGCGTATTTGTTCGGTTAAAAGCGTTTTACTTTGGATTAAGATTTGGGCGACGGCGAATCCGACAGCCACGCCGACGAGTCCAGCAAGAATTGCAAGCAATCCGATAGTGATGGGCAAACCGATGAGGTCTTCTAATCCTTGCAGCCCTCCTTCTTTGCCTCCTTTTTTCCCCTTTTCCATGTATCCAACCGATCCCAGGGAACAAAAGCATTCCAGTGGTTCTTGCTTCTCCTTCTCGTGTCCGTAATTTTGTTCGTATCCGTGATGTGGCTCTTTGTAGTCGTGAACGTGATGATGCACATGCTCCAGGACATCTTTAGGATGATAGTACTCGTCATTTCCGTAGCTGGAACCGTAGTCAAAGTCGTGGTAAGCCGGTCGTTTATGACGATATCCGTCCAAGTACTCGTCGGAGTAGTGCTCAAAAGATCCGCTGAAGTAGTCGGAGCCTGTGTAATCCCGGTCAGAGAGTTCATCATATAACTCATCTGAGTTCTCATCAGTCTCAGCTGACGACTTGCGACGCTTGTAGTCTCGTCGGCGATCTCCTTCTTCGCTTTCAGAGTCGTCAATCTCGTTACTTATGTAGTCTTCCTCGTAATCCTCGGATGAAACGTCTTCGCTTTTCTCCGGCCTGCGACGTCCTTGTCCCTTCTTGGATTTCTTTTTGGGTTCCTCTGTCGTGGCTGTGGTCAGTGGTGGTTGGTTTATGCCGGGATACGCTGGTAACCCGTAAGAACCGGGAGCAGTTAAGCCACTGTAAACGTAGTTTGGCCACGAATAGTAAGGCAAGTAGGAACTCCCATTGCCGTACTCCTGTTCACTGTATGGATAATATTGGTTCTGTGCCAAATACGTTGGGGAGTACAAAGCTCCCAATGCAGTAATGTTACCGTAAGCTGTCGCCGTGGAAACTGCCATTTGACCACAGACAATTCTACTTCAGTTTATAATTGTATGTATACTTTCTTCTGGAAAAAAAGATGGGAATGAGGTGGTGAGTTGTCTCATTCACTCGGCCGAATTTGTGAGACAATATTTTCAACGTGTGAATAATCGCACAAGGGATGGTCCATGCGTTCTGAAACTTCACATTTTATGAAAGTTTTCCGAGTGCTGAAATTTTTTCAGGAAATAAATTTCATAGGCAGTGCTTTCGTTCTTTCGACTATTTTCGTGGGTGGGGAAACTGGTATATTTCTTGTGGGTGAGTTTAATGTCAATAATGCCTTTTGTGATGCCTACCTTATTTTTTATTTTTTTGCAGGAGTTTGGCCCATGTAAAGGCTGACCGTTTTGAGGATCTAGAAAAAGAAGTTAGGGAGTTTGAAAAAGGTTTTGTGGCTGATTTAATTCTATTTATTGAAATGCTTAAATTTTTGGGTTTCCGTCTTGAAAAAAAAATTATGAAATTTGTGGGTGAAGTGATGCGTACTTCCAAGCTTTTTTCTTTCATTTAAGGGATCACGTTGCTTTATTCTGGTCAATATCTGAGCACATGAACCATCCCTCATAATATCTGAAGCATAGTCCTCGAAAATAATTTGAGAGACATTTTGGCAAAGTCCATCTGCTTTCACCTCTTGCTGCCCGGGTTTTTAACTTTGTTTTTGTTTTTCAATTGAAATAAGGGATTTCCTGAGTTGAATTAGAGAAGTCTTTC